GTGGTGTTTTATCTTTGTAAACAGTGAAGCACAATTAAATTTGTGAGATGTCATTACCGAACTAGAAGGTAATTAAACATCTCTTTATTCAATATGAGACGTCCAGATCTCTAAATGTAATAGTATCACCACGCAGAGCTGGTGGCTGAGCTTTGTTCACCAAGTGAAATACAAGCCATGTAAAATTCAGGCGCACTTGGGTAAATTTTCCTACTGGCTACGACTGCACAATAAAAACAATACAAATAAGACCTGTGTCACCTTCACTTTGTAGCTGAGCAGACTGAAGCTCTCGGTGGGGAAATAACTCACCCAAAGTCACAGCTACCCAATGTAAAGATTAACCATAAATATAACTCATGAATTAACTAATTACTTCCCTTCATTTAATTGGCATTAACTTATAGACAGAGCCACAAAAGAGCACATACCTGCTGTCCAGCCTTCCGAAGGATCAAACACGTCTACTGAACTTTTAATAAAGTTCAAAATCTAACTTAACCTAGAACACCTCATGCTAGGTGTTGAGAAGTACCAAAAACACAAAACATGCCCCTTTTCTTAGGAGAGTTGCCTATATTTTGAGCTTTCACTTATATCAATCACGAAAGTCACAAATGACCCATGAAATAGGACTGGTCATTCCCATTGTAAGGATTCTTTGAATTTCAGAAGAGAATGAATAACGCTGCGAAGGGATGATTTTTTTAGTAATAGGTAGAGCCACTTGTTAAAAGTGAGGGGTGGGACACAGAGGAGGGACAGGGAGGTCAGAGACCGGGAGAGAGGCAGACCTGCAGGGAGGGCCAGGCTGATGCCGAGCAGATTTAATGAAGTCACCCAAGCGCCCAGCCACAGACAGCCGGCCTTTCACATGCAGGCAGGCTCCCAGATGGAACACACGCTTCACGTCCCAGGAGCTCATCTTCTTTCTGCACCTCACCCTAAAAACCCATTTACCCAGAATTTGAGATAACAGATATCAGCCAGTCCATCACACATTTCCTGGATGTGCGAGTTGCCGCAGTTAATGCAGTTCATGAAATAACTCAGCTGGAGAGCATTTTATTAGCATTTGTCCCAACTTGTCAGCTCAGCCTATGCAGACATCACGTCTTCCAATTTTGTATTAAGGAAGGAAGCAGGCCCTTTTCCCCTGCCTCCCTTTCTTCTGGGACATACAGGTGCTGCCATCTCGTGGCCATAGCAAGCACAGCCATGACATTCTGGACAAATTCCACAAAAATATCTCCCGACTAAAATTATTGAAATTTAGTAGAATAAGAAATGTAAAGGCAATTCTCAGATTAAACAAAGATATATTCAAGCAGCCCTCAGTTTAATACATTTGCTTATACAGTGACTGCTTAGAACTCAAAAAACATTTTCTCTTCCAAAGAACCTGTAAGTGGTGATGGGCTCCCACAGCTTGCCGACCTACGCCTGTATACCCTGTACAAACTCAGCACATGACATTGTCCCACCCACACCTGGCTGCCATTTGTAACCAGTCTTCTACTGAACCGTGCATGGGCCTCCCCCTCAGGGTGGCATGTGGTCTTGCTCTGGAACAAAACTAGTTGCCACCCTCAAACTGAACAATTAGCTAATAAGACACACTGTCCATGACACAGGTGCTGAAGTGGCCCCTGGGTACTGAGCACCCTGGCCCCCAATGAGGCAGATTCCCAGACACCCCTCAACTCTGCCTTTGTGAAGAGGGATCCTGAGATACCCTACTGCCATTTATCAATTTTTTTGAGCACCTCCTAAGCCCCTGGCCCTATCTGAGAGCTGGAAATGGAAAACCACAGAACACGATCCTTGCCCATCAGGAAGTCCCAGGACAGTGGGGGAAATGCCCCCGTGTCCGGCCATCCAGTGCAGTGTGGGAAGTGCCCTGCGAGGGGCAGTGAGAACATTTCTGGGGAAGGCTGTGTGCGGGGCTCTCTGTGTCTGAGTTTCTTCGCAGCCCTTGTTACACACCAGGTGCTGTTTCAACGGCCTACAAACTAACCTGGTAGTTGTCGTGTGAGGCAGATCCTGTTATTGTCCCATTTTTACAGACGACAGGCTGAGCCGCAGACCTGGGGTCCGAACCCAGCAGTCTGGAGGGATGAGCTGATGGGGAAACGCCACGCACAGCCCTGCCACCCAGGTCAGAGGTGCTTGTGTGACAGGCCCCCAAGGCTCACGTCCCTACCGCTCTGATGCCCTGCTCTGTGATGCCGCAGCAGCAGAGGAGGTGCACGGAACTCCAACCGGGGGAGGGAGATGGCTTCCCCGAGGGGGTGGTTCTCAAGGTGTGTGTGAAGTATGAGTTGGAGACATGTGCTCTGGGTAGAAAGAAGAGAAAGCGCCAAGACACAAAGCGGTTAGGTGCCTCACAGAGCCGGGAACTCTGCGTGACCCACGGGAACTGGAGAGGACGTGCGAGGGTGAGCAACCAGAGACGAAGCTCGAGAAGCGGCAGGAGTGGGGCTAGTCCCAACAGGAGTAGGAGAGCCACCTTCAGCATTCAGTAATACCGTCGGATCTGAAGATGGTTCGGTACGAGAGCAGATCAGTAGGCAAATTAGGAGGCTGTCACAATAACCCAGGCGATAAATCTCAAGTTGCGCATTCACCCTCGGGATAGAAAAGAAAACTGCATTTGGGATTTATTCATTTGTGTAGACATTCGTGCTCATTAATCATGGGCCCGGGATGTCCCATCATCATGGGAAAGCGCAAACCCTTCGAGATGACAAACACGCCCCTGCTCCACGTGACAGAGCTTCTCTCCCAGCAGGTGCTTCCCCAGGGAGCGTGGGCAGGTGGCCCCGCACACCAGCCTGCCCGGGGGGCCCCTCGCAGGCTGTGTCCCTGACCCCTGCGCACCTGAGGAAGGAGGGTTTCTGTGTCTCTCAAAGGCCCTCTTCTTTGTCCTCTTGGCAAACTTACTCATCATTCAAAACCCATCTTGCATGTCACCTCTTTGACTTGAACAGTGACTGAGCATCTTTGAGCCCGCATCCTCTTGGGATGAAATGTGTGGATGATGCACAGGACAACCTGGAGGGTCCCCCAGCATGGCCATTGGGTGACTTCAACTGCAGGGTCCCTCCCATTGACTTGCTCCACTCCACATCCAGATTCTACCAGTGCTTCCTGAACTTCAGTGTGCGGGTGAATCACCTAGGAACCCCGCTAAAACTGCAGGCCCACACTCAGTAGTTCTAGGGAGAGGCCTGAGATTCTGCATGTCCAACAAGCTCCCCGGTGATGCTAATGCTGCTGGCGTGCAGACTCATTTGAGCAGCAAGTCTAATAGGTTTTCCCAGTATAGTCCGATGGAAGGACCAAAGGTTATTATTTTTGCTTTTCTACACTGAACCCTTTATTAAGGTACAATTTCTGTACAGTGAAATGCACAGAATGAAATTTAAATTCAGTGTTGGCAAACGTATACACCCTTGTGACCTACACCTCCATCTAGAACATTCACAACAGTTCCAGAAAGTCCCCTTGTTCCCCTTCCCATTTCATCCTCCGAGCAGAGGTGGTTCTGTAGGGCAGACGTGACTCAGTCCAAGGAAACAGCTGTTTGACAAGGAAGGACTCATCACAGGATAAATGTAACGAGGAAAAGAGAATATCTTGCAGGCAGTCCCACATGAAGAATGCAGGCTTCAGATCTAACTAACAATCATTGGGGCTGTTACCTTAGAAAAGTTTCTTTGTTCATTTTTTAACTCCACTCATCTGGCCCTGTGCTCTGCATGGAATGGCAAAGTGAACGGACAGGTTGGCCCTGTGGTCAGAGGGCCAGCTCGCGTCCAGCAGGAGAGACAGACAAGGCACCTGCCGGAAGCCCCCTGCAGCAGCGGATTCTGGGATGTGAGGCATTCCTGGCCGAGGCAGAGAAGGCAGGGAAGGCTGGGAGGATGAGGGAGGCTGAGATGAAGCACGTGGGTCCCTCAGAAATCTCCTATTTTGCATGCCTCACTCTCGCACAGCACTTCACAGACCCCCCTTACGGATCTGATCTTTGCAACGGCCCTGTGACGAGGCAGGTGCCACCGCAGTCATGCACCACTTCATGGCAGAGGTGCCGTGGGAAATGCATCGCTCAGTGATTTCACGGTTGTGTGAACGCCTGGAGCGTGCTCACATGAACCTAGATGGGGTGGGTGGCCTACTTCACACCTAGGCCATGTGGGACAGCTGGGTGCCCCTCGACCACAAGCCCGCACAGCACATTACCGTGCAAAACGGCACAAGATTAAATAAAGCACAAGAGGAAATGATGCCATTGAGAGACGTGGTAAACGCCGGGTGTATGAGGCTGCTGCGGGGTTTTACAGCAAACTCTGTTCATAAGTAGAAAGAGTACACGCTGCAATAATGATAAAAAGCATAGTATAGTAAATACATAAACCAGGAACACAGTCATTTATTATCAAGTATTACATGCTTTACATTACTGTATGTGCTACACTTTTATACAACTGGCAGTGCAATAAGTTTGCTTGCACCAGCATCGCCACAAACACAGGACGTGTTGACCTGTGACACCACCACATCACTAGGCGACAGGAATTTTTCAGCTCCACCATAATCATATAGGGCCACTGTCATATATGCGGCCCATTGTTGACCGAAACGCCATGGTGTGGCATGTGACTATATTCCCCGGTCTGTAGCCATGAAAATGGAGACTTGGAGAGGTCGTCCTAAAGTCGCACACAGCTAAGCTGCAAAGGGAAGCTGTTGGCTCCCTGAAAGTGCTGGTGCAGGTCGGGCCAGCTGGGCGGCAGGAACCCCAGGGGTGCCCCCCCACACCAGCCCTGGCACCAGCCCTGGTGTGAACCTCAGGCCTGGTGGCAGGAGAGGACCACCAGCGCCCTTGACGACCCACTTCCTGCGGAAGGTGACTCTCAGGCCCTGGCACTGTCCCCTCTGAAGAGTGTTTTTCCCGCTTCCGTTCTAATCGCCTCCCACCCTCCTTTGTGTTCCAGTATCTGGCCTGTGGCTCCTGCACCATGAAAATCCTGCTGTGTGACCTCCTGCTGCTCAGCCTCTTCTCCAGCGTGTCCAGCAGCTGTCAGAAGGACTGTCTGACCTGCAGAGAGAAGCTCCGCCCCGCTCTGGACAGCTTCAACCTGGAGGTAGGTCCTGGAGTGCCGCTGCCTCCCCCCTGTCCCTGACTCCCCCTCCCTACCTCCCCCTCCTTACCTCCCCCTGCCTGCCCCCTCCAGGGCAGACCCAGGAGGAGCACTGAGGCCTGGCCCAAGGCAAAACCTGTGGTCTCTCCACTGTGCCCCGTTCAGAAAGAGGCCTGCCCATGCTGCCATCTTGTTCGATTATTAAAACAGCACATTCGCAGTTTAGAGAATTTGGCAAATTAGAGAAGTTTAAAAAAAGAAAACTGAAATCACGCTGAATCCCACCTCCAGAGGAAGAGTCCTCGTGTTGGCACTCACTGCATTCCACCAGGATGATTTTCCATGTTGCTGAACATGAAGTTAATTCCCTGTGAACACAGCGTGATTTGTAACCACCCCTCCAGCTGAACACGCGTGCTGCACTTAATTTTTAACGTCTCAGATAATTCCACAGCGAACACCTCAAATGCTCCCTTATATTTTAAATTCTGAATTTGAAATGCAAATCCAACATTAAATTTCTTTACATTAAATAAGCTGCTTTCTCCACGGCTTCTATTTCAATTTAAATAGTTATTCCTCTCCTATTAAACCCAAAGTAACTCAATTACTTTTTTTCCTTTGTAACATAAACTCCACTGAAAAGATGCCTTGTTTCAAACTCCTCCACCTTTAAAATCAACCAAAAATGACTACTGCCCTTAAGGCAAGGGTTCGAACACAGAAACCAAGTGCCCCAGGCGGGCAAAGTCACAAGTACCCAGCAGACACAGCCCCAGGAGCCCAGGCACCAAGCTCTCCGCCCCCCTCTCCACCCCCACAAGCTCAGTGGTTTTCAGCCTGTTTTCTGAACTGTCATAGCTACTACGTCACGAAAGCATTCCCAGATAACCTGTTCAAAGCTCATCCTGCCCCTCACTCACCCTCCATGGCTTTCCTGATGAAGACAAGGGACCGCACGGTGGGCAGATGGGTAGAGTTTGCATCCACTGGGAGAGAAGAGGCCACAGTCCCTGGATGAGAGAGTAATTCCTGGCTGCTGGGGACACACAGAGCAGTGGGCCCCAACCTAGTGTGGAGGGGCAGAGGGGGCTTAGGAGGAACTGAAGTCTCTAAGGCAGGGGTGTCCAAACTTTTGGCATCTCTGGGCCACACTGGAAGAAGAAGAGTGTCTTGGGCCACACATTAAGCACATTGAGACACATAATCACAAAAATATCTTATAATGTTTTAAGTAAATTTACAATTTTGTGTTGGGCTGCATTCATAGCCATCCTGGGCCGCATGCAGCCCATGGGCCATGGGTTGGACACCGCTGCTAAGGAGACCTAAGGATGAGTGGGAGTGAAGAGTCACGAAAGGCAAGGACCTGAATCCAAGGTCACTCCATCCAGCAAAGCGTTCATTTAGAATGGAAGGGCAGATAAAGTGCTCCCCAGACAGGGTCAAGTTAAAGGAGTTTATCGTCACCAAGCCCTTATTATATGAAATGTTAAAGGGACTTACCTAAGAAAAAGAATATGATCAAAACTATGAACAGTAAAATGGCAACAAACTCACAACTATCAGCAACTGAACCTAAAAAAAAACTAAGCAAACAACTAGAACAGGAACAGAATCATAGAAATGGAGATCACATGGAGGGTTAGCAATGGGGAAGGGGAGCAGGGAATGGAGAAAAAGGTACGGAGAATAAGTAGCATAGATGGTAGGTACAAAATAGATAGGGGGAGGTTAAGAACAGTATAGGAAATGTAGAAGCCAAAGAACTTGTATGTATGACCCATGGACATGAACTAAGGTGGGGTAATGTGGGTGGGAGGGGGTGTACAGGGTGGAGGGGAATAAAGGGAGGGGGAATGGGACAACTGTAATAGCATAACCAATAAAATATATTTTTAAAAAAGAAAAAAACCCACTTTCCTTGGTCTTAGTAAACAGAGTAGATAACTAGTTTGCGTGTAAACCAGCGAAGGAGCTAATGAAGCAATCATCTCCTAATCGCCACACCGTGGAGGTTCCCAGGGTGCAGCATAGGCCGGTCTGAAGGTTACATACAGTTCCTGAAGCACCAGCTTTAACTAGAGCCCTTCATCTTCCACTCAGAAAAGCACTAGGACTCAGAAGATATGTGTACACACCCATGTCCACACCCATGGCCATGGCAGCACTATTCACGACCTCCGCCAAGTGTCCATAATAATGAGTGGGTAAACACATGCGCATGTACGGACAGCGGACTGTCACTCAGCCTTACAAAGGACACGGCAACGACAAGGATGAACATTGAAGACATTGTGCTAAGTGAAGAGTCAGACACAAAAGGACACATACTGACAGTTCTACGTAGAGTGGTCAAGTTCACAGACGAAAAGTAGAGAGGTGGTTGCCGGGCCTGGAGGGAATGCAGAGCAGGGGTTTGATGGGTGGGGACATTCAGGCTGGGAAGAGAGAAAAGTCCTGGCTGGGATGGAGGGAGGTGACGATAGCACAACGTTGTGAGTGCACTTAACACCACTGAGCCGACACCAAAAATGGGTAAGATGGGGGATTAGTGTTACATGTATTTCACAGTGGAAGAAAGCATGAGGAACGTGACTATAAGAATACCCCTGACTCTGCTCTTGTGTATTTTTCACAAGATGAATTATTCATAGAGGACGCGATCTCCTTCTAACAAACGTCACACCTGATTGTGAAACACTAGTGTGACTTCCCGCCCCCTTAGACACCATGACCTTGGATTGCCCGGTAGCAGAAGACGGCGGCCAGCAAGTACAGATTCTCTCCGGTCTCCTTACTGCCACCCCAGGACCTGCTTCACTCCCTGCCTCGCGTCTGCGCTCCTGCCCCTGCCCTTCCTCCTTCCACACCACTGAGGTCCCGCGCAGGCGTTCTCCTTCATTTTCCCCTCTCCTGACTGCTTTTGCCCTCCCTTCATTGTCATTTTTCTGAAAATTGACATCTTTGACCCCCTTGCCGCTGCATCACTCTCAACTGCCCTCTCAGGGCCAGCAGCAGCTCCTAAGCACAGGCCGATTGGCGGGCTCCCCACGCCTTGTCCTCTTTGGTGAACTTGCCTGGCGCTCTCCCCTGCTCCAGCTCTTGTTTTTCTGCCCCCTCTGGGGTTCCTGCTCCTCTCTCCACCGCAAACCCCGTGGCCCCCTAGATTCCCTGCTTCTGACCTCCATGTGCTCTCTCCCTCTGAGAGGCCATCCCTGTATCCAGGCCTGCAGCTCTTCCCAGGACGCAGTAACTGCGAAAGGTACACCCCACACCTGGTCTCTGCTGGGCTCCAATCACTTTCCACACTTCCCGGGAATCCTGTCTTCCTTTCCTGGCCTTCCCAAGGCTCCAGGAAATTGCCCTCCCGTCTTAAATGTGCCTCTGCCTCCTCTTGTACTTCAAAACTGATTCAGCCCTGGCCAGGTGAGTCAGTTAGTTGGAGCATCGACCCATGACCAGGGTTTGCATGTTCAATTCCAGGTCAGAACATGTACCTAAGTTGTGGGCTCAATCCCCGACTGGCACTCGTGAAGGAGGCAACTGATAGATATTTCTTTATATATTTTTTTATTTTAATCATTGTTCAAGTACAGTTTTCTTCCTTTTACTCTCAAACCAGCCCACCCACCCACCCTTCCCCACTTCCCTCCCATTAACACCCACCCCCCCAGTTTTTGTCCCTGTGTCCTTTAAATTTGCTCCTGTAAACCCTTCCCATTCTCCTCTGAAATTCCCTCTTCTCTCCCCTCTGGTCACTGTCAGCCTGTCCTCTGTTTCAGTGTCTTTGGCTATAGTTTGCTTGTTTATTTGTTTTGTTGATTAGGTTCCTGTTAAAGGTGAGATCATATGGTATTTGTCTTTCACCGCCTGGCTTATTTCACTTAGCATAATGCTTTCCAGCTCCATCCAAGCTGTTGCAAAGGGTAGGAATTCTTTCTTTCTTTCTGCTGCATAGAATTCCATTGTGTAAATGTACCATAGTTTTTTCATCCATTCATTTACTGATGGGCATCTAGGTTGCTTCCAGCACATAGCTATTGTAAATTGTGCTGCTATGAACATCAGGGTGCAAAGGTTCTTTTATATTGGTGCTTTAGTGTTCTTAGGATATAGTCCCAGCAGTGGGATTGCTGGGTCGAAAGGCAGATGCATTTTTAGTTTTCTGAGGAAGTTCCATACTGCTTTCCATAGTGGTTGTACCAGTCTGCAGTCCCACCAACAGTGCACTAGGATCCCCTTTTCTCCACAACCTCTCCAACACTTGTTGTTTGTTGCTTTGTTTATGATGGCCATTCTGACTGGTGTGAAGTGGTATCTCATTGTGGTTTTAATTTGCATCTCTCTGATAGCTAGCGATATTGAACATCATTTCATGTGTCTTTGGATCTTCTGCATGTTCTCCTTGGAGAAGTGTCTGTTCAAGTCCTTTGCCCATTTTTTAATTGGGTTGCTTGTCTTCTTAGAGTGTAGTCGTGTAAATTCTTTATATATTTTGGAGATTAAACCCTTGTCTGAGGTATCATTGGCAAATATATTTTCCCATACAGTTGGTTCTCTTTTTATTTTGATACTGTTTTCTTTAGCTGTGCAGAAGCTTTTTATTTTGATGAGGTCCCATTTGTTTATTCTTTCCTTTATGTCCCTTGCTCTAGGGGACATGTCAGTAAAAAAGTTTCTGCGTGAAATATCTGAGATTTTCCTACCTACATTCTCCTCTAGGACTTTAATGGTGTCACGGTTTATATTTAAGTCTTTTATCCACCTTGAATTTATTTTTGTATATGGTGTAAGTTGGTGCTTGAGTTTCATTTTTTTGCACGTAGCTGTCCAGTTCTCCCAACACCATTTGTTGAAGAAGCTATTTTTACTCCATTTTATGTTGCTGCCTCCTTTGTCAAATATTAATTGACTATAGAGACTTGAGTTTATTTCTAGCTCTCTGTTCTGTTCCATTGGTCCACGTGCCTGTTTTTATGCCAGTACCAGGCTGTTTTGATTACCGATAGATATTTCTTACATCCATGTTTCTCTCTCTCACTCCCCCTTCCTCTCTGTCTAAAGTTTATGGATATATCCTCTGGTGAGGATTTAAAAAAAAACATCAGAGCACAAAGTAGGGAAGGGCTGGCTCTACTGGGGCCAGTGGAGAATCAGCAAAGTGTTCTTTGCTGAGAACACTCAAGAGATGAAAGTTAAACTTTTTAACTTTCCGTGTATCCACAGCATCTTAAATCTCTGGGGTCCAGACAATACTGTTAGTTTATGTCTTTGAAACGAATTGGGAAGTGGCCAGTCATGGCCTTCCAGTAGGGGACAAACCCTTCACAGCACCCACTGACCCCCGGAGGAACTGGCTGCCTGGCTGTCGGGTTTCTAGTTTGTATTTACTTTTAACCTGCTTGTTTTTTTAAGTTTCATGAAATGTCTAGAATGTAGGCAACCTCTCATTTCCAAGTCTGGCAACTCCTGAGTATACCCCCTGTGTGACAACGGAGGGGAGCAGCACTCAGACACCTCAGCCAGGGCCAACCCCCAACCCCTCCACCAAACCACATGATCCTGAGCCACTCCCAGGACCTTGTGCACCTTTGGCTTCATCAAGAATTCCTTTACTTCTCACTCCAGGTCCATGGTCCAAGGACAGCTGGCTTTGTCTTAGGCTATAATTTTGGTCAGTAAATGACTCTCATGCAAAACCCATTGCAATGTACTCGGTTTTCATCTAACAGCAAACGGTGCTTCACCACACCAGCCCAAGTGGGGAAAACTACATGTTTTAAAGACAAGGGAGAAGGAAACTCTCAAGAGAGGCCTGGGGAAATTCAACGAAAACTTCCTAAAACTCTGGCTGCATAAAGAAACCACCTTCTGTTAGTGCTTTCTGTCTTCATTGCATGAAACCCCTGGTAGTTGAGTTGTAGTGGGAGCCTGTTCTATGTTTTCCTTTCACACTGTTCGTCTGCTGGCCTGCTAGAGTCAGCCCTTGGGTGTTCTTGCAGAACCTCCTGAAGCGAGTAGCCCCCCAAATGCCTCTCAGTCGGAAGTGGTTTGATCCTTTACTGACAGACATCTGACAACTTAAATGAGCCTCTTCTCCTTCCCATGGGCTCGTGTGCCAGCTCCCTCGCCTGCCATCCCAGGCCCCCCTCCGGCCCTTTGCTCAGTTCCCCACAAGCCCAGCTTTATAGATCAATTTGGCATCAGCCTGAGACTTTCCAGATGCTCACCCACACGCTGGCTTAATGTAGCAATGTCATCAGTGAGGGCTGTGAAAATGTGTCCAGCTCACTTAATAGGCTATTAACCCACCCCTGGAAAGAGGCCGGTAGGCACCTCAGGCCAGACAGTTCAGCATTAAGCTCCCCAATGCCCATCTGGTGCTGCAAATACTGTTGTGAATTTGGGTTCCTCACATTTGCTGAAAACCTGCTCCTAAATCACGAGTCAAGAGGACTTTGTTAGTGCCCAGTGCATCTAGCAGTACGACGCATCTTGGTGAGGGCTACGCATCCGCTTTGATCATAGAATTTCATTTTCTCTGATTGACACACAATCTAATTAGCATCTGGGCTTAGAAACCTCAGGGGCTTGCAGAAGATCTAATAGCCCTTAGGTTTAACAGCCTCTACCTGTGCCTGTAAACGGAAGGTACAAGAACAATTCCACAAGCATTTGGGGGCTACCGTTCTATGAGGGTTGGATCAGGTGTGCCCAAGGATCCACTTCAATGCTGAAGTTCTGCACTCCTACTGGCTTTCCCAGTGCTGCCCACTCTTCCCTGCTTTCCCCTTGACTCTGCAGAGTACGGTTTCTCAGACTCGCCACTGAGGACAGTTTAGGCTGGATGATTATTTGTTGGGGGCCAAGGGGACTGTCCTGTACATGACAGGATGTTTAGCTGAATCGCTGGGCTGTACCCATGTGTGACAGCATCCCTCCTACCCATCCACCGTGTGGCGACTAAAGTATCTCCAGACACTTCCAAGTGTTCTTGGGGCGGGCAGGAGGCAAAACCTCTCCCAGCTGAGACCCACGCTGGAAAGTAGTAACCCAAGGGGACTGTGATCTGAAAGAACATGTCACGAATTGGTTCCATTTGCTTTTCTTCAAAGTGTTTCAGGAACAGGCTAAGGACAGACCCACATGAGCCTATCTCTGGTGGAATGTCTCCCTAACCCCCAGCCCCGTTCCCTGAGGGCTTCTCCCCCCTCAGGTCCAGCCTCAGGATCACCAGGAGCACTTGCAAAAAAGGGATGTCCCTGAGCCCCACCCTTGGGCAATGAGCAGAAGCCTCCAGGGGTACAGGCAGGCATCTGCACCCTAATGACCCCCGGCAGCCACTCTTACACAATGCTCAAGTGTGCAGCCACCGTTGTTCTCAAGCCCCCTCCCCATCCACGGAAGCTGCCTATCCTTCTCACACACGCAGTGACATGGTGGGGTGAGAAAGAGGTCCCTCTAGATCTCTCAGCTGGGTTGGCACTGACCATGCATTACTTCTGCCAGCTTCTCTGGAGAAAAGCTAATGGAAAAGACATGCTCAAAAACCACGGCTTGAGGATCAGTAGGTGCCAACATCACTGCCTCGAGCTGGTGTGTGGGCATGGCGAGGGTGCTCCCTGGTCACGTACCAGTGAGGGAGAGCGGCATTCCCCCCAGATTCTGTCTCTTTCTCCTCACTCTCCCTTTCGTTTCCATCAGCTGGCAGTATCGCCAGCACACATGGATTGTTGAGCAGGAGATGTCCTGGGATGGGACCCAAGACATGTGTCCTTGCTCAGGTTAGACCGGCATCTAACAGTGTAGGTTTGGACACGTTACTGAATCTTATTGTAACGTGTGAACTTGGACCACATCTGTGGTTTCCAAAGCTTGGCAAACTTCAGAATTACCTGAGCTTAGTAAAAACAAATTCAAGCCCTGGTTCTATGCTTCAGGGATTTAACTGGGTTTTGAAATCAGTGGTTTTTAAAGTTCTGTAGATGGTTTGGATTCACACCCTGGTGTGGGACCCACTGGACTATGCCCACAGAGGCCTCTGTGCCAATGTGAGGCCCTGGATGAGTGTTTTCACTCCCCAGATAGGGACTACAGGGCACAGCCAGCAGCATCCTGACGTCCCACACCTGCCTGGACAGGTGCCCTGTAAGCCTGGCAAGAGATCCAAGGTTTGGTGAGAGGCTCTGCAGCTTCCTGCTGACCATGAGGGCAAGGTCACGGGGAAGTGGGATTTTCATCTGGCTCAGGCCAGAAACACAGAGAGGAGGACTTGGGCTGAAGCCGAAACGAAATAGGACGCAAAGTTGGAGGCAGAGGCTTCCCAGAGACCCAAAGAGACAGGAACGTGGTAGAGTGCAGGCTAGGCCAGAACCAAGCAGGAGTCAAGGCAACATCATGGTTAGGCTGCTGATCCAGGTGAGAAGTGGAGACACCAGGAGAGGCAGAGCAGCAATAGAAGATTCCAGGAGCCTGGTGGGTCTACTGGATTATAGCAGATGGTCCCTCTTCTCACCTGAAACCCCAACACACCTACATCCCAAAGTGCTTTGACCTTCATTTTTATAAATAATGCACAGATGGTGAGGACGAGTTGGTGGGAGGGGGGGTGAATAATTAGTACCAGGATTGATCTTTCCCTGGTGATCTTAAAATAACCATGCAGATTGAACTACATCCTTTGGCAATCCCACTTTCTTAAGCCCAAGGTCTTCTGACCTCCCCTGAGCCTGATAAAAAAACAGAATTAAATTCTTCTTTATCGGTGACCCTTTATGGGGAGCTGTGTTGGGCTCCAGAAAGCTGACTAAGTCTGTAACGGGGTGCAGTTTTAGTGCGTACATTCTGCATTAACTTGCTGCGTCACCTGGGATCAGGTAAGCTCACATCTCTGGGCCCCCGGTTTCTTCACCTGTGAAACGATGGAGCTGGGCCAGAGAGTTCTCTCTTTCTTTCCAACTTTATGATTCCATGAACCTAAAGAACCACAGGTCAAACTGCTGCACAGTGCTCAGTAAGGAGATGCTTCTGAAGTACTTGCACTGGTACAGAGGGACTTTCTGTCCTCGTTGCCTTGGATGAATACATGTCCACCTGGTCTTTCTCCCTTCCTCCCACCTCTGTCTTTGCAGGTGTGTATCCTCGAATGTGAAGGAAAGGTCTTGTCCAGCCCTCTCTGGACCCAGTGCAGCAAGGTCATGGCCAGGGGCTCCTGGCAGCTCAGCCCTGTGGACCCAGAACACTTGGCAGCTGCTCTTTACCAGCCAAGAGCCTCCGAGATGCATCTGAAGCGCATGCCCCGTGTCAGGAGCCTATTCCAAGAGCAGAAAGAGACTGAGCCAGGCATGGATGAGGCTGGAGAGAAGGAGCAGAAACAGCTGCAGAAGAGGTTTGGGGGCTTCACAGGGGCCCGGAAGTCGGCCCGGAAGTTGGCCAACCAGAAGCGGTTCAGTGAGTTTATGAGGCAGTACCTGGTCCTGAGCATGCAGTCCAGCCAGCGCCGGCGCACCCTGCACCAGAATGGTAATGTGTAGCCGGAAGGGGAGCCCCTCCCAGCTGCACCGTCCACTTCAACCCATGAGTGAGTTGGGCAGGAATGAGCTGGGGGCAAGAAGAAACCTCATGTATCTGTCTTAGCACATTAGCCCACAGACACACACACCCCAAGGTATTCAGCTTCTGGGAGGCCTAGGAGGGAGGTAAATTCATTCCCCTGCCTCCTGCCCACCCTTTTTCTAGGGAGCAAAGGATTTTTTAGGATTGCTCCTTAAGGCTTACTACTGCCATTTAGAGACTGGTTACCATGGGGATAACAGTAGTAGGTTAAGATAACTAATTCCTCTATAGCTCTCCTGGAGCTTAGTTACTATGGGGACAGTTAAGTGGACCAATCCTCCATTCAGTTGTCATGGCAACTATTCAGCTCACCTTCTCTCTGAGACTTTATCTCTAAGACCCCATAGCTGGACCTACTCTTAGCCATTAGCAAATAGTCTGATTTCTGTGGCTGTGATATTGCTGTTTCACCTGTAAAAACAGCTTCGCTATCCCCCATGTTTCCCCCACTATATCTCAAGGTGACTGGATTCCATAGAAACCATGAAACTTCCCCACTCTCCCCCAGTCAAGGAGTTCTTGTTAGGGCCGGGAGCTATGCTTCCTGTTCTTCCTTCTTCCACTTGTCATGTGCCCATCCCACCACTGGGCCCCATGGCCTGAGTCCTCGTGGCTGACGGCCCCACCACTGAGCTTTGAGAATTTGGCCCAACTGGCCCAGCAGCTCTCAGAATAGGGAGGACAGGATCATCATCTTTCCTCACTTTTCGCTTCTTTCCTGGGCCATTTCTGGTTTGTTTCTGTGTGTTTGTGTGATTGCCCTTGTTCCTTTCTCTCTTCTGGTCCGCTCTTACCCCCACAGCCATGCTTATACATGTTCTTATAATATTTGTGTATCAGGTAAAAACAATATCAAAGACCCTAATTTATTGCCCAGTCATTACAAATTCAACTTTCCCCAGCCCATACACAACACTGAGTGGCACAGAGAACTGGCACAGTGGAATTTTACGAAAACCTAGGAAAATCCATCAAGCCTATGTGCCTTAATTCATACATGGGCATGAGACTACCTGTATAGAGCCTCACACCTCTTCTTAAACCATCTGGACACTTCCCCTACCAGAAAGAACCAATCGGTTGGTCAAAACCATTTCCAAAACATCACCCGAGTGGAGCTGTTCCCTGGCTCAGGGGCAGAAAAGAGGAGGCTGCGCGTGCTGCTTTATTCTGCACCGAACATGTTAGAGGCAGCCAGATCATTACTAATCTTTCTTCAAAGCATATTAGTGCTCGTGTTCAGCGCCGGCACTCGCACTTCTGCAGGGAGGCAGCCCACGCAGGCTTGTTTGCCAGAGGCCCACCGCCATACACGGACATGCGTCTCAGGCTGCAAGCAGGCTGCTGTGTTTATTTTAGCAGAAGAGCTAATCTCCGAAGGCCCTGAATTAACCTGCACTGTTTCTGAAGTCATACTCTTGGGTCCTTAACAAGCATTCTATTTCTTCCCAAGCCATATCTGCACAGTATGTAACAGTAAATCTTTCAGAAGTAGCATGGATTGAATTCTTTCAAATCTTAAAGACATTCTTCTGTAAAGTAGCTCTTAAGGGACACTAAAGCTTGTGTCTAATTCTGAAGTACAACCATTTCTTTACCTACAGATAGTTTTAAATCAGTCATGTTAGCATAAATCAATTTTTTTTAAGAAAAACTATTTAAGCCCCTATTAGGGCGATTAGTTTTTCTCATTTTCTATGAACCCTCCCAGGGAGAAGCACTGAGACAGAACTGGTAACTAGCTTCTGTTCAGGGCTCAGCTCAGGAGGTAACTCGTTGATGAAACACTGGAGACCTTAACCAGCTCATCTAGGTTTACCGATTGCTCTCTCCACTTCTGCAACCACCTCTCTGTTCCTCTTCCCACGCACTCATGGCTGCAGAGTTCCAAGATGGATGTGTATTTATGGCTGCCATAACAGGCACCTGAAACTTGTCTTTATTCACTTATACCCCAACCAGACCTACACACACTTGGGATTCTCCATCATGGGGACTCCAGTGGCCAGTGTCAGTCTGTGCTGATGAGGCTGGAGCAAACCGGGCTGTCTACCTTGGGAACGGGCTCCAGGCCCCATGAGAGAGTGTGATGATGTGTGAGGAAGGAGGGAGGCTGCGGTGCAGGACCCACCCCAGACAGAAGGGGGCGGAAGACACAACTGGTTTGGGTGTCAGCCCTCTCTCCCTGGCCTTACACTGACTCCACTCTGCTGCCCCAGGCCCTGACCCTCTCAGTCAGTGGGAAATGAGCCTATTCACTCATGGTGAGCAATTAGTGAAATCAGGCTTAAAGAGCACCACCCATGAGGATGTAGTTAAGAGAACCATAAACAACAATATAATTTAGCCTCAAGAAATAAATTACTACACATGGGTTCTAAATAGTCCCACGGATAAGACCTGCTTCTGGGCGGGGCATCTACCCTGTGCCTTCTGAGCCCCAACCCACAGACCTCCCCTGTGGTCTGTCAGTCATGCCAGTGGGCTGTACCAGGGCATAACAGTCTGCTGTCTAATAGGTCTATATATATATATGACACAGGTGTTTTACACACACACACACGTGCGCGAGGTGTGTAGAGGGAGTTAGGGAACCCCGCTTGCTGCTTTAGGGCTTGGCTATTCCTATAGGTAGCTGTTCTTTGCCTCCTTTCCACCGCCCAGTCATGAGGGCAAACAGGATTGAAGGGTCAGTGACACTATCTGGTTTGCCATTGTAATCATTTCTGTCTCCCCAGGTGTCCGGGTGATCCCCAAAACAGCATGTCTCCAGCCCCAGACCTGCCGGCTGGGCATCCGGATCCCTTCCTTCCCCCGGCACTGAGCCGGGCTTGGTCATCGGGTCTCCGCTCCCAGGCGCAGAACCTCCCTGTCTGGTGGTCTTCCCTCCCCCCTCCGCCCCGCCCCCTCCCATGGCATGTTTCATGACAACCCAGTTGCTACATCAGAGTGTATTTTTGTAATTCCTCCAGTGAACATTGGCATGGCCCCATCTTTCCTTCTCACCCACCCCTTCCCCCTCCGGGGGTGGGTCGAGGGAACAGGACGTCGAGCTGGGGTTTTGACTTGTCACTGCCATAACTTGTTTGTAAAAGAGCTGTTCTTTTTGACTGATTGTTTTAAACAGATATTTCTCCATTAAACTTCTACTGAGCAAATGACTCATAACATTGTTTGGCTGTTTTTTAAGTGAAGTCACGGAGAAGCTCAGACTCCAAGCACACCCATCAGAGCTGCCTCTCTCGGGAGGCAGAGGCAAAAAGCACGCGGCTCTGCTTTATGTAAAGGATGACAGGCAAGATACGTGAGCATAAACACCCGGCCAGGCCGTGTTCCCAGATGCCAGTAGATGGATGGCCCGGTGGGACGGAGGGGCCAAGGTTCTCAGAAACTCCCTGTGCACCACACCACCAACAGCAGGCGAGCTGTTGGGTCCTGCACCCTGATTCTGACTCAGTAAAAACATGCATTTTTAACAAGTTCGGAGAGATGCAGATCCTGCTGCTCTGGGACCACTGGGCTGGGATGCGAGGCCAGGGGCAGAGCCTCGAGAAACCTGCTGGTGTCATTTTCTCCTCCGGTTCGACACAAAACGTGAAGGTGTGTGACTGTCAGAGCCTGGACATCAGACGCGCCCAGACAGAGGAACGAAGACAAGGAGGAACGAAGACAAACGTCCACAGCCCAAGGGAGGGGGAGGTGCTCTGCTGAGCAGGGGCAGAGCCCGTAAGGGAGTTACTGGTACCCACTGAGCTGGAGCTCTCAGCAGGGAAGCACAGCCTTTCACACTGTGCGGGAGGGGCCGGGAGAGGCAACACTCCAACCCCTCTCTCCTTCGCCCCTCAGACTGCAGCTGGTGTCTCCTGTTGGTCAACCAACCAGAAGCAAGAAAGTTAGGGGGGTCCACAGATGCAGCCATCGAGGTGAGCTGAGGGGGGCCCAGGGCTGCAAACAGGAGTGTCCAGCTCCAAGGCAGTGAACCAACTGTGGGGGCTTGGACAGACCATTAAAGCAGCAGATTCTATTTGGGGCTTTCTTCGAGAGCTGGGGCGGGCAGGGACAAAGGGAAAGTGGAGAAAGAAGCCCTCTGTTCCAACCCAAGATTAGGAAAAAGGTCAAAGGGCAACCTCCCACACCAGCATCACGGTTTCTGGGCTTGACCAACGGACTCAAGTTCCTGGGTCTTCTGGGAGCAGGATCCCCTTCGCCATCAGGCCCTGTTCAGGGTCCCTAGAACCCGCTCTTCACGGTCCCAGTGCTGCAAGGGTGGGATGCTGCTCTCTGCTCCCAGCACCCTTCCCACCAAGGCCAGCTTTCACTGGCCATGGGGGCCGTCACTGTGCAAGAATCGATGAATTCAGGGTGCGGCCCACGTCGTTCCCTGGGGTCAGAACTTGTTCCACAAGTAGAGTGTGGATTCTTTTCTCCTAAGTCACTTACTAACTCACGGGTAGACTCAGGAACATGGCCGAGAGCATGCTCCCCTTGGTCAACAGGAGCAGTAGAGGGAACAATTACCACCACCTGGATCACAATCCTGGTGACATTCCTTCCCAGTGAACAACCTTGGGAGTATTACTGAACCCCCGTGCCTCGCTCTCTTCATCTGTAAAGTGGGGACAATAACAGCAACTCCTTCATGGGGTTACCGAGGTCATCCATGCAACCACCTGGCCGGGTCCCCGATCGTGTTACCTACTGTTGTGATTAGCAAATGAATGCGTGCACTGAGCCTGCGGGATGACACGTTGTCATGGGTGCGACACCAACGGTGATGACAATCAGCCTTCGCAGGGGGAGGGCGCAAAGGGACAGGCACACATCCAATCAGACAAGGTACCATTTTATTCCTTATAAAATATATTTCATATTGTTGTTGTAAAAACATTACATTTCACATTAAAAAAAAACTTTTTAACAGTAAAAATAATACTTGGAAGACAGCTGGGGGAAAAGGCGCCAATAAGACAAATTCACAGATGGGATTTGGGATTTATCTCCCTCCCTCCCTCTCTCTCCCTCTCTCTCTTTCACCCCCCTGGTAAAGTCAGAACCTGAGAGGACCAGAAAGTAACAGGACAGATTTCTTCAAACAAATGAGAGCTTCCACATCTAAATTAATCATGCCCTTCAAGTAGTCGAGCTACAGAGGCTTAGTATTACAACGTGGACATCGCCCAGAGCACTCTCTGAAACTGTGGCATCGCCTGCACGGCCAAGCCCTTTCACCCACTTATCAGTGCGGTGCTTTGCACCTGGGACCTCGCCGGACCACCGACACGTGGGGTCTCGCTCTGGGCTAATGGAGCCTGGTGCAGAGGCGGCATCAGTGGGGCTGGACCCAGTAGGCACCGCAGGCTCCCAAAGTCATTCCAAGAAATGTGTTGACTAAGGGCAACACCACTGGCCTGAAGTTTCCCAAGATAACTGCTTCTGACAATCGGCCCTGTTAGTTTCAAATGGGCATCTTACCTTCCATCAGGTTCTGCTGCCCAGGTGGGCTGGGAAGTAGGGAGAGAGAAACAGATGAAAACAACAGGCGTGATCGCTGGATCAGTCCACAAACCACCCCCACCCTCCGAGAGGAAATGAATGGGGTGACCCCAAGGACAGACCACACGTCAAGAACCAACACAACAGCCACGAGACGGAGGGGAGGGACGAGGGGAGCCAGGGAAGCCACCGCCACCAAAAAGAAGAGCGGAACAGATGCACAAAGGGAAGCCGCACCAAAACAAAACATTAAAAAAAAAATAAATCCACCTCAGTTTTTCCACTCTTTTGTCAATTTCTTCTTTCTCCCTTCCTTTTCTGCCTTGTGTGCCAAGGACATGAACAGCCTACCTCCCTTAAAGAAAATCTGTATATCCAGTTATATCTACACGATCCAAACCGAGAGGGAAAATAAAAACAGCTTTTCTAAAGACAAGACTCGGCAAGAGCTCTGCTCCCGGGGAAGGGAAGGGACTGCCGGGCCGAGCCCCTGTGTCTCAAACGCCCCCTCCCCTCCTCCAGACCTGACAACGGACAGCGTGGGAAGTGAGCAGGGTGGGGACAAGCAACGGACTGCTATCCACTTTTAATTCTCAGGGAGGCTGAAGGGACAGGAGGAAGAACCCCGGGCGCCTTTTGCTGGCCTGGATTTGAGCTTTACCGAGGGACAGCTTCCACATGTGTTTTTTCACTAAGTTGTAAAAATACAGCCCATCACCACCAAAGACACCTGTGCAGAACTGTCTTTCCCTTCAGTCGCCAAACCCAGGTCCCCATCACCCTTCACAAACCGCACCCCTCCCTCTTCATCAGTGGGCAGGTTTTCTACACTCCACCTGTCTCAGACTGAAAGACGTAGGCTTCCAATTGCCAGGTACTTCCACCTGGACCTCAGTGAAAGCCAAAGGGTGGATGCTGCTGTTCAGTCCCCAGAGAGGTGGCGTGGTGGGGCTCCCTGGGCCCCTGAGACCGAGCACATAGGTCCAAGGCAGCTGGGCACCAGTGGTCCCGGTCACACAGGCCCCAAGGGGTCCCCGCAGTTACTGTGATGCTCCAAAACACACACGTGCCCTCAGGACCCAGCTCACCCCTCCCAATCTGCCACTGGCCAGCAAGGCATTATGCCCCACACATCTCTCTCCTTCCCCACAAGACCAGCTGTGCTCCCGAGCAATGCAGTCCGGGCTCCCCTCCACTCCCGAGACCTCCAGGAACACCGGGGGCTGGAGCGCCAGGAGCTGTGAACCCAACCCCAGGCCCCTCACTCTATTTCCTCAGCACTCTCTTTAACCTTCTTCATCCTGCCTTCAGGCAGCAGGGCCCTCAGCGGGTCCGGGAAGGTTCCAACACATCGCAGTGACCCTCCCCGTCACCCAGACTGGACTGACACTGGCCAAAGTCCAGAAGGCTCTTGCCTTGACTGAAGAGCCCTGTCCTACCCGTCACCTAAGGGAGATCTTCTTGCTCCCAAAGGGGAAGGTGAGCCCGTCAAACAATGAGAGACTGTCAACTCCTTCCATCTCAGTGGGGGCAAGCTGCCACTTACCTACCTACCTATCCGCGCTCTTCTCACTCCTTCCCCACCAGCCCCGCCTGCAGCCTTGGGAGGGAAGTGGGGAAATCCCGGTGAAACCAGAGACAAAGCACAACCTACCACCCAAATAAAAGGGAACTTTAATCAGCTAAAGGCTTCCAAATACACCGTCCGAAAAGAAAACAAAGTGTTGCAGAGATGCTGTATTTCCATGCCACGGATAACAGGAGAGAGCTCCCACAGCCGCCAAAACCCTCTCGCTTTTTTTCCCTCGAGAAAAGAGGAAAGAAAATCAAGGTAGTGTTTTACTGCCATGTTTCAAAAAGTGAATTCATATTAGCCTTTTGGCTCAGTTATTGGGGCCAGTCTTTAAAACCCTGCTAGTCTGGGCTTTCAGAAGCCACACAATATGTGTTGGGACACCACTCAGCATCTGAGGGGACCCAGATTCAAATGGTTGTCCCCAGAGCTTTTCCTTTGACTTCCAGGGAGGCTGCCAGCTGAGAACACGATTTCCATTCTCCAGATTCAGGGGGAGAAGGGCCAACTGCACCTTCAAAAGCGCCCAGATACCCCAACTCTTCCCACCCCATCCAGGTGGGCCCTGCTCTGAGTCATTAGCCAGAAATGTTTTTTGAAAGAAAAGTAAATCCATCTTGCTCACAGTCCCTTCTGGACCAGTTGAGAAAGCAAAGAATTCACCAGCTCAGCAGGAAACAGAATGAGCTGTTCCTTCTTCTGAGGCTTACAAACTAAATCCCCTGGAGAGAGGGGATATGGGAAAGAGAGGCTAATTAATTCTTTGGTCTCCGTTCGCTGCAGAATACCCTTGGTCAGTTTTGGCTCTCTCCTATTTGAGGGAAAAAAAAATATGTTCATTTCTTTTTTTAAAAAAATAAAATGTTCCCACGAGGGAGGGAAAAAGGTTTGAAGTATTAAACCTTAACCAACTGAGCCCAAACTCCCAGGGTCCATTCGTTCTCTGCAGGTGTCTGCTGAGGGCTCACAGGTCTGCCTTTTGTCACCTGGCGGCCATCAGGGCCAGGAGCAAAGGGAAGGAGCCGGTGGGAGGGGCTCAGTCCAGGAAGCGCTGGCAAGCCTTCTTCCAGCGGCAGGCGGTGCACCACTGGTCCCGGTGCTCGATGCCGTACACTTTGCGGCACTTCTTAGCCTCCCCACGGGCCTTCCTGCCGAAAGAGAGTAAGGCGGGTGGTCACGCACTGGCGGTCAGACCTGGAGAGTGGTCAGGTGTGAGGCTGGACAAACAGGCAGTGGCGGGAAGGGGTAGGAACCAACAGGGCCACAGGACGGAGAGTCTCCCCAGCCTCCGGTGTGTCCTCCAGCAGGGCTCACCCCCGCCCCTGCCCGGTTAGCAGGACTAACCCCGGACCATGGTCACGTGGACGTGGAGTCCACACTCGCAGTGAAGACAATGGGGACAGAAGCCAGAAGGAGGCTATGGGAATGGCCCATCTCACCTGGTGCTGCTCTGGGCCCGGGGTGGAGAAGTGACAATCAGGTGAGATTTCATGGCAGGTGCTGGCTGCTGGGGCTCGCTGAAGCTTAGCGACCGGCTCCGGACCTGGGTACGGGAGAGGGGCCATAAGCACAGGTGACAGAACCACCCTACAGGGCAGGCAGCCACACCTGCACAGGCCCTCCTTGTGCCGAGAGGCCAGGGTGCCTTTTCTGGAAGGATACTCCAGGCAGAGGTGAACAGGGCCCAGGCAGAGAGGGGAGGCTGGAGGGTGAGGAGCAAGACTTCAAGTCACACTCAGGATCGAGTGGAGCCCACAGGCCGGCAGCAGAGTCACTTCACCTGCCTTGGCAGGGACCGCTCCCTGCAGACTCAGATACAGGCACCACATGTGACACAAACCAGGGGACCGCACTGCCTCAGGGGCACCTTCGGGCACTTAGGCTCCACAATGCGTGACCTCCTCCTACAGGAGACACTTAAGACTGGAACCCACTGTGTGTGGTTCAAATGACTTCCCATTTATTTCACAGTTTCGAGGCAATAACCTAAGCAGTGGCCGGCAGTGGCCTCAAGATTTCTGACTCACCCTGCACTCCCCCCACAAGCTCCTACCTGCTTTCTGGCCCACCCTCTTCCTCTCTAGGTTTCCAACATCTTCTCCCTCTTAACAAGCACCTGCAGACACTCAGGGCTAAAGAGGGCATGGACCCCGGCCCCGCCCCATGATTTTCTTGGCAATAAGCATGATCTGGTCACTCCTCCGCAAGCACCCTCCTTCCACCTTCTCAGAGGGGCTGTGACCGGCCAGCGTGGGAGGGTGCTGGGCGAGGGGGCGAGTACATAGAGATCTTCAAGAAGTCTGGGTGCTGGAGACGAGCATGGGGAGAAGGCCTCCAGCACTGGGCATGTGTGTAGAAGGACCTTTGGCGTGTTCCAGGGCCCCGAAGTGCTGCTGGGATCAGATGCGGGCACACTCACCGGAGAGAGGGAAGAGGTGGTGGAGGGGGCGGCAGCCCAGCTAATACTGGTGTAGATGTGTGGCGAGACGGGGATCTGAAAGGACGGCAGGGCCTGCCAGAGATGAGACAGCGTCAGCCTAGGTCCCGGCTTTCTGGGCCCACCCTCCCTCCCTGTAACTTCACAATGACGGCAGGTCTCTGGCTGGAAAATGCTGGGATACACCAGAATGCTCTTCCCAAGAGAAACATTGGAGGACCCAACTCTTTGAAGTTGTCTCCTTAGTCCCAGGCACCCTCCTTCTCAGAAGCCCCTCTCAGGGCTGGTGTGCATGCCAGCCTCACGACAGAACCATCACAGCACAGCAGATTAACTCCGTGGCTGGATCACCTACCAAGAACACGCCACAGGTGTCCCCAGACATCCAAACACCTTCTGAGCATGGGTGGGGCCACAGCATGAAGGATGCGGCAGGAGGCCAGCAACCCCTTGGAATTAGCAACGCTCTCCTGGACACTAGGGTTAGGTTTGTTTATGAAAACACCAGCCACACCCTCCAGGGGGGCCGTCAGCTGCCCGAAGGGCCACCTGAAGTTGGCCAAACATGAAAAAGCTAAGTGACCACTCATTCTCACGAGGAGTTGGCCCATTTTGTGAAGGTTTTCTGATTGAAACACTGCTTTTTTTTTCATTATTAACTTGCAAGTCAGCCTAGAGTCTGATCAAACCAAGCTGTGGGCAAAGAAGCACTTTAAGAAAAACTGGCACATAGTAAGCTGTGCATTCACTGAATACCTACTACATGCAGTGAAGACCATCCTAAATGTCGCCCCCTCCAGGACAACATTCCCAACCCCACGGGCATAACAGCTTCGTCCCTCCTGCATCCACAACCATGTCTTGTGCCTCTAGTAAGGTACACCCACCAGAATTAATCATAGTTACATATTCATTTCTCTCTCCAGCTAAACCATGAATTTCACAAGGTCAGGGACAATGTCTTAGTCTACCGGGAAAGCTTAGCCCACTGCTTAACACATAGTAGGATTTCAAAAAATGGGTGCAGGATTGCTTGTTGATGTAACACACTTCTGGGAACTAGGGACATGTTCTGGGGAAGCCCAGCTACACTACTCCACCCCCTTTTACAGCCAGAGATGTAACAATTCCCTGGTCCAAACCCATCCTCCTGGCTACTCAGGGATTCAACCAGATTTCTTGTTATCAGGCATGACAACCACTGATGAAGAGATCAGTAATGCCCACATTTACTGAGTGTGAGTTATTTTCCTTTCCTTCTTTGCAGAAGTTAAGAGATGAGCCATTTAGCTACAGGGCTCAGCCTTCGATCAGGGTGGTCAGTGGCCTGTGATCAGGCAACAGGTCAGACACTGAATGTCCTCAGAGCCACAAGGCCGAGCTCCCAGCATGCCCCAGCCCCATACCTGGTATGCATGGTCGGCCTGAATGTGCCAGAAGGAGCCAGGAGCTGACTTGCTGAGAGCACCAGAGGGCAGGTAAGATTCCAGGCCGGGGTGTTCTGGGCCCGAGGTCTGGGCTTTGGGAGGAGGTGGTGGAAGGATTGCGAGGGGCGGGCTGGTCACACTGGAGGTGGGGGCTGAGTCAGCAGTGGGGGTGCCAGCAGCAGCAGCGGCAGCAGCTTCCTCCTTCATCTGCACTTCTGTGTAGTAGAAATCCTCCTCCCGCTTGAACTGGTCAGAGTCCACGGAGTCTCTGCGTGGGAGGGAGAGGCGGTGGTGATCAGGGGCAAGTCGCCTCCGTCAGACACGTGGGAGACAGAGGTGCAAGAGGGAGTGTTTGCTCAGGGCCACCCAGCGAGTAAGGGAAGGAGCCCAAGGGAACTCGGAGAGTCTGGAGGTGCTTGCACGCCGATGGACCTGTCCCTCCTGACACCGGGGGCTTCTCCTGGGCCGAGTGTGTCCGAACCTCCCCTCCCGCGGGTGTCGTCCGATCGGAGCTCTGCCACGGGTCCTGTCTGGGCCCCACTCCTTGTGGTTAAATTTTCTCCCCCAGGGAAAAGGCTGTGAGCCAGGTCCTCTGCCGAGAGCGGCCCTGGCTCCCGGGCGGCTGTGTTCACAGTATCCCAGGTGCCCAAAGGAAGCAGGTATGGGCCTCACTATGGGGTCGCACTAAATCACCCTACTCCCACCCAGAACTAAAACCTCTCACGTCTCACAGTGAGGCAGGATGGCGCATCTTTAAGGCAGACGGAGCCCCCTTCCCATGAGGAGCAGCCACATTCCCCACGATAGGAGGGTCCTTCCTTCTCAGCAAAGATATCCTCAACATGGCTACTTTGCTGGGTGCAAGGGCCAGGGACAAGGAGCAGAGGGCACCCTCAGCAAGTCATTTTCTTGGAAGCGTTCTGGGCTGTGGGTCACAGGGAATCAGCAGAGTAGAGGAGGCCTGAATGGTACCCTAGGCCAAGAGGCCCGGGGCTCCACACCTACCCCAGGTGGAGGGCTTTCACGTGCCGCTTGATGCCCACAATCGAGCGCAGAACTTTGCCACAGTTTGGCCACAGGCACTTGTACATCACCTTCACGGAGTTCTACACAGAAGGAAGGCAGGGTCATTGGGGTATGTTTCTCTGCCTTGTCCCCCCTCATCCTCACCTCGTGGGGATTTCAGCCACCTTCAAACAAAACCTGACAGAGGGCTCTCTGGGGCCCAAAGCCTGGCAAGCAGGGGCAGAGAGCCTGGCCCCAGGAGCGGGGCCCGGTGGCCGGCAGCAGCGCTCCGTGCTGTGGGTCAGACCCCACCAAAGGTCCCCCACACACAAGCCTCAGGAGTACCGTGCAGAAGGCAGGAATTGAGGCTGAGGTAAGAGGAAACTGGCACTAAAGAGATCTCCTGGGAATACCGTGAGGGGCCAGAAGCAGCGAAGGAACGCTGAAATGGGAGGGAGCCCGAGCACACCTGGGACCTGTGGGGCCTGCACGGCCAGAGCCCCAGCTGGGGATGTAGGAGAGGAAACCAATCAGTGTATCTCTCATGCATTGACGTTTCTCTCCCTCCCATTCTCCCAGAACCAGCAGCCCGAGCTCACACTCACATCACCCACATACCTTTCTTTTACGTGGAGCTGGTTCATCCAACAGGAAAGCATCCGGGTCAGTTTCAAATCCATTATCAGTCTGGGGAGAACCAAAGGCGTCCCCCAGGTACTTGGGGCTGGCCTGCGGGTGGGGGGGCGAGGGGGTGGAAACACCGCTGCTCGCGCTCCAGTGTCCGCTGGTGGTGCTGCTGCCGCTGTCCGACACATCGCCGCTCTCCTTCCATGGGTCACAGGCCGCGCGGGAAGCTGGCCGGAGAGAAGGCAGAGGATGCTCACGGGGCTGTCCCCAGGCAGAGCTTCTGGCACGGCCCTGCCTACGCCAGGTTCCTCACGGACAGCCCAGCTCTGAGAGTTCTCGTTTGGAGTGCGAGTCCTGCATCCAATTCCTGGCTCTGGCTCTGCCTGGCTGTGCCACTTCAGGGGCACAAAACCCAAACCTGCCCTTCCTGAGCTTCGGTAGAAACTAGGAGCGGGCAGCTCATTGCAGCGCTTTCTCTGCGTGGCCCTGGGTGGCCCTGCTCTGCCCAGGCGGGCATTTCCTGCCACAGCCACGCCGATAATCACTGACCACTGCTGAAACTTCAGTTTGTGTATCATCAACAGAGAGGCTAATTAAACCATGCGTCTCACTTTAAATGTTAAAAACAAAAAACAAAAAACAGGGAGAGTGGAGAGGGAGAAAGACTCTGGACCTAACAGGAGGGGTGGAAGGGCAGTCGCGGTGCCAACACCACATGGGCGGTCTCCCCTGCATCCGAGCAGAGTGCAAAAGCCATGTTAGGAGCTTGTTGACCAGGCTGTCTTGAAAGATGCCTTTTGATCATTTAAACCTGGGCAAGTCCATCAAAACCTGCATGTGAGGAGAAACCATTCCGTCAGCTCTCATAGCTATTGGCATGGGTAACACTGACCAGAGGTAGCTTCAGCCCAGATGGCTCCTGCTTTTGCTCACAAGCAGCACACTTAGAGAAGGAACAGCGAGCTCTGGGAGATATTCAGACCAATGACAGATGCCCGGGGCACTTAGGCCCGGCATGCCCTGAACCTGCTGCCTGTTCCCGACAGTGCAACTGAACAGGAAAAAGATCCAGGTGGGACGTGAAATGTTTGGTTTTTAAACTGCCAGTCTTCTGGGCCTGGCCAGGTAGGTCAGATGGTTTGAGCATCGTCCCCATACACCAAGGTTGTGGGTTTGGTCCCCAGTCAGGCAATATACAAGAATCAACCAATGAATGCATGGATAAGTGGAACAGCAAGTCAATGTTCCTCTCTCTCTCAAATCAATCAATCAAAATAAATAAATAAATAAATAAAATCGTCTATCTTTAGGCTGCTTTAGGCTTGACCCAGACACTTACATGCCTAAGCCATAAATCCCAATTCATTTACAATATAGAGAATCTGAAATTCTTATTCACAAAAACAGCAAGAAAAGGGGGAAACAATGTGCTATGTGTAGGTATGGTGGCCATGTGCCCAGCTCCCAGCACGGGTGGCCATCTGTGGAGCCTCCTTAGTAACCTGGATTCTGAGGTCGGCTAACACCTCCTTTGTGGCCAGGACACAAATCATACTGATTTTCTCTCAGCGTGCTCTGCATCCCAACTGCTTCTCGACTGAGCTAGACACCTAGGATGGACTCCCAGCATTCCATGTTGTATGTTGCCAATGCAGGCGCTCTTTGATTAGATTGCACGTGCCAGGAGAAGCCCGCCCAAATAGAATGGGACGGATGAAGTCTCCACTCCCTAAGAATCACTGTCAAGTCTCAAAGCTATGACTTCCTGGCAACCCAGAGTTCAGGGCTCTGGAGAAATGGGGCAGGTCGCACACAGGGCAACCCTACCCCCGGCAACCCCCCCACAGGGAAGCAACCATTCAAATGGCTCAGCCGCTGGCCCTGGCCGACTGGAACAGAAAGAAAAGTATTTTAAGAAGCAAAAAGTTAATATCATAAGTTAATCTGTAAGTTATAAGATGAACACAAATTACTGTACCTTAGATTATACCATTTTCTAGGGCAGTAGATACTCTGTACCATGAAGACACAGTGTTCCTCTGCAAATGCACAGCCACAACAGCTCCCAGCGAACCTCCAAGAAACGTTCTATCCCCTCTGCTCTCCACGCACACGCACGTGCAGAGCCACCCTAGCACTGCAGACACCAAGGGGAATCGGGGCCTCTGTGTGAACAGTATCCACAATAGAGTACGGTTCTGGTTATTGTAGAGACCTCACATGGCAGAATGCTTCAACATCATTACCTGCCAGGAAGCCTTATTTTTCCCACCGATTTCAACCACAGAGATCAGAAATTACTGGAAAAACACCTTTAATAAACTACCAAAAAAATTTTGTCTATGAGGATCACGGCATATCATGCCATGCATCTGCTGGTGTTGATGTGTGTGGGGGGGGGTGAACATGTACGTGTGCATTCTACACACACACACACATACACACACACCTGATGGGAACTGGAGTTAATGGTTTTCTTTCCCTTCCTGACACTTTTCTGGATATTCCCCGTTGACCAACCTCCCGGATCTCCTAAACATGGAGGATTTCCTAAGAACGTAAAATCACCTCCTTACCTGCCACTTGGCTTATGTGGCTCCCAAGTGCTAACAGACAGGTACGCGACTCACGCTTCCCCTCGAGGTGCGATCAGACACAATGACTAACTCTAGCAGACTTGTCACTGCGGACAGGCTTTGGGCAAGTAAATCTGCCTCATCACTCCTCTAAATCTACTTTCTACTAGAAAGATTACTTAGGAAGGATACTTGTAAAGGCCACTTTCTTTCTGACTCTGTTTTCTCCTGCAAGCCTGCAAGTCAGTTAGAGTTCACCAATGAAAAAGTTATTCCCTGGGAGTAAGTTAGGCCAGCCCTGTAATGAATTTCCATAACAAGCCCTTCAGGTGCACGGCCAGTCTTGTCAAGCTACTAACATCCAGCAACCCATCTTCCTCCCATATTACTGGCAATGTATTTTGGAGGTCGCACTAGAAGAATTTTCCTTTAATTTGTAAATTTGCTGTGAAATCATACTATCAGCTTGTATTTGGCAATTAGACTTATTTTATTTTTTGTTATTTTGCAATAAGATTCATTTTAGATTTCAGCTTGCTTATCCCAGGTCCTTGACCTGGAGGCCCACGCTCATTTACGAGGCAGAATTAGGCACCTGGAACAGGCACACGAATCTTCTGAGGTCACTAGGGGACCATTTGGTAAGTTTCTACACCTTTGTGAACTAAATATTCCTCTATTGGCCGTGTTCAGGCTCCCACCGCAGTGCCTGACTCACTTACTCCCACAGAAGAACTTACTCCAGTGGCCAGTGTGGCTCAGCCCGTGCTCAATCATCTTCACAACGCACCCGGAGACTTCTCCCCAGAGGAGGAAACTGAGGAGACAGAAGGGAAGCATCTACCTCAATGTCACTCAGCCAGGCTGGGGTGCAAGTGGGAAGGGACTCCGAAGTCCCACTGCCAGGCCTGTCCACGGGCAATTTGCTGCTCCCAGCAGAGAAGTCCGTTGCGAGCCTCCGCCACACCCAGAACCCACATGGGGCCCCTGACTCACCAGAGAAGTTGGCCTCTGCCCCAGGAGGACTCTGCACGACGGGGCTGCAGGACAGGGACGTCAGCACCATGGCCGCCATCATCTCGTCCATTTCCACCGCGTCGGACTTCCTGGATTCAAGCAGGTAGATGCCAAGGTTATTTCCTGAGACCGCGGGTCATGTGATCATGTCATACACTCTGGACTGTCCTTCCCACGTCCGCATCCAATCAGCCAGTGTGTGGGTTAAATAAAGCATGAAGGTCTCTCTTCATTCTTCATGAAATATACTCACTCTGAATTATAATATCGGCCAACCCTGGCACAAACAGGGTGGTCCCCATCCCACTGCTGACACCAGAGGCAACACCATTCTCTCCCCTGAGTCCAGTTCCTAACTAACTCTGCAGCTTAAGACAGAAAATTGTATTTGGAGGGAAAGAAAGAAGCATCAAAGCAATGAGAAAATTGCATAGACAAAAGAGATGCCCACTAGAATTCAAAAGCCCTAAAATCACCTTTCTTTCTCCCTGTCTTACACTTAAATTTAAGACGGAACAATGAACCCTGGCCGCTAACTCAGCTGGCTAGAGCGCCGTCCCAATACTCCAAGCTTGCAGGACTGATCCCTCATCGGGACGCACGCGAGAGGCGTGTGTATTTATACGCACAGTGAGCGAGAAACACTGAAATAGCTCTCAGTGCTTTACAGAGCAGAGATCTGTAAAAGTAATTTACAGAGACTTTACAGGTAATTTTTTAAAAAATCCATTTAACTTACGTTATGTGGAAGTAAACTTAGAGCTGTCTGTAAATTAATGCTGAAGTATGAAAAGTTTGTCTGAAATAAATTTTTAGGTAGCTCATCTATTTCAAAGGACTGTATTAATCTATTCTCTACACTTCAGATCCACCAAAACACGTGACTGGGTTTGAAGTAGCTAAACTAAGACGAGTAATCTATGAAACATGTTAGCATCCCTCTTTTTATATGATCTTTGTATTTTCATTTCTGTGAAACAGGAAAACAAGGTCTTTGCCGACATCCCACTGAGATCACAACCACGAATACCGTTGCTCTGGTCTGGTCTCAGCACACGGAGCACCCTGTCGAGGACAGTGGCCCCACAGACAACTCAGAGCAGGGGTGCAACGTAGAATGTGGCTTGACTGCTTGCTCATCCTGGATGTGAGACGCTCTCCACTGACAGATTTTTTTAGTCTTGAAAGGTCAATGAGCATAAAAAATATACAGTATGTAACATAGAAAATAGAAGATAAGTGTGTATGTGTGTGTGTGTGTGTGTGTGTTCCCCCTCAAGGGAAAATTATATCATAAAATTCTAAAACCATATACATTCTTCATTCAGCATTAATGGTTTTGAACTATGCGGTACACCTGAAACTAATACAAAATACTGCATGTAAACTAACTGAAAAATAAAATTTAAAAAAAAAAACATGGTTTTGATGATCAAAGCCAGGGGCCAGCAACCCAGGGGCTGTGAAGCGAACATGGCCTGTCACCTGCTTTTCTACGGCTCCCCAGCTGAGAATGTTTTCATAAGCTTTACGTGGCTTTAAAAGTCAAAAGAATGTTATTTCTTGGCATGTGGCACATGCTAATTATGTCTGTAAGTAGAGTTTTCCTGGAGAGCAACCGTTCCCATTCGCTTCCTCCCTGCCCGTGGCTGCTCCCCGGCCCACCGCAGCGGAGCTGAGTCCCCGTTGATGGAGCCTGCTCAGCCCCCAGAGCCTGTGCTACCTATGTCCTGGCCCATTCAGAACAAGCTTGCTCATCCCCGAGCTAAGCCACTTTCTTTCTGACTCTCATCGTGAAAAACTAAGAACTAATTTTAATTCAAGCATGAAGAGAGGAGAAACAGCTCTTAGCCAAACTGAAAATGCAGCGCCCATCACAGAGAGTTACGAGGAAGAGAAGATGGCGCCCCGGGCTATGCGGAAGGGTGCCCTCCCCTCTCTGTGTCCCATCCGACCAGCACCTTGACAACCAGACCCCTCAGACCCCCGCACTCCTCCCTCATCACCAGACATGCCCACCAAGCCCAGACCTCACCACCCGTGTGATTTCCAGAGCCCGGGCTCCTCCACACAAACCTTTTTGGGACGTCAATGTTCCTGGAGACAGGCCTGTAGGCTTGCACCTGTTGGGCTCCCTGCTCCGGAAGGGGCACCTGGGGAAGGGCGCCCTGCAGCTCAGCCAGCCACACCTCCTCCGCTTTGCAGCAGATTTGTAACTTCTGGTCCAGCAGCCAGACAGTCACCTTATCCTCTGCCCAGCTATGCTGCTCCACCAGTCCTGTGCACTCCTGACCCCCGTACCACACGTACACCTGGGTGGGAGAGGAAAACGAACCAGAGGTCAGCGCTTCGCAGTTTGTGCCCCCTATACCCCAAGTCCCAGGAGCCAGGATCCACCGGACACAAACCAAGTTCTCTGACTCATGTCTAATTCGAGCACATGCTCGCAGACACCTGAGCACCCAGTGGATGGGCTCTTCCCAAAACAGAGCCTTAGAAACTCTCCAGATGGAGAAAGCAAACATGTCAGTTTCAGAGATTTTTTTTTTCTGAACTTGGAATCTGTATGCAATTAAAGCTAAGTTGTTACCATCTTAAAATAGACTGTTACAACTATAAGATGTTTTCTGTAAGCCTCATAGTAACCACAAAGAAAAAACCTCAAGTTGATACACAAAAGATAAAGAGAAAGAGAAAGGAATCAAAGCATATGACTACAAAAATAAAGCAACAAATCACAAAGGAAGAGAGCAAGAGAGGAACAAAGGAACTACAAAACAGTCAGCAAATAATCAACAAAATCTCGACAGTAAGTCCTTATCTATCAATAATTACTCTAAATGTAAAGGGATTAAATTCCCCAGTAAAATAAATTTGGGATCTGTCCACCCTCCTGATTTCTTGCCCTGCCTTGCCCCTGAAGTCCTATGTATCTGCCAGTTCCACCTGCTGCCATGAATTTCTCACCCTGCACTTTGCCCTTCAGAGACTCCTCAGTCTACCTGGGGACGGACATGTGGACAGGTAGGCTGCCCTCTCTCAAGGGCTGCTTAGCAGTTGGGGATCAAGGTGTGGAAAACAGAAGCCTCAGCAGGGAGACAGAAGGTAGAATCTATTTGTGGAGAAGGCAATGGAAGAGAAGCCCATGCGCCTGGATGCGGCGATGACACCAGGTACGATCATAGCTGGGCCCCGCCACAAGGGGAGAGGACAGCAGAAAAGAAAGTCCAAATGGTATTCTGTCTATACACACACCTTCCTCTCTTGAAAACTCCTAAAGGTAACTCAAAGACACAACCTTATGTGACTCTCACCACTCCGAGAGTCATCCCTTTGTTTTGTAAAGTTACACACGGAGATGGATCAGGAGAAACTGAGTTCTGGCCACGCCTGAAATTCAGGTTTTGCGTAGGTCTGCACTCAGAGGGTGGGGTGTCAGGTCTTGGGGCTCTTCCCCCAGACAGCACTGACACGGAGAAGCCCTGCGTGTGCTGCTGCCGGCGCACTCTCTCAGGAGGCCTGCCGCCCAGGGGCCCCCAGCACTGAGGCTGAAGTCTGTACACGTCCAGACTGACGCCCAGGGCATTTCCAGCCCGTCACTGGGGGCACCACTCGTCTGCTGGCCCCAAGCCTGGGGAGATCGGGCACCTGCCCATTCAGGGATCAGCCTACCTTTTGCCCGGGCTGAAAGGCCACCTGCTGGAGGCCTGAGGCAGCGGGAGCCTTGAGGACTTCCTTGGGCTGCTCCTGACAGGAAGTGTCCTTGGAAGCGTAGAAGGACTGGGGAGCCACAGCCTCCAGCAGCTCTGCCTGAGGCTCCGGTGGTGGGGCAGCCCCGGGTGGTCCCAACACGCGGGCTCCCAGGAGGGACCGTTTGCCGAGGCGCCGGGACAGCACGCTGGCCATGCTGCTAACGTTCCTGGGGAGGCAAGGGGACACGGAATCCTTTAGCCATTATCTGGAGGAATCAGGAAGCTTCTAGCCCAGTGTCCGACACGCAGCAGCGGCAGCTGTGGGTGTCCATCAAAGTGGATGAAGCTGTTTACAGTGACTTTTACAGTTTTTTTCTCGTTACAAAAGTACCACCCATTCCTTGTAGGACATTTAGAAAATACTGATTAGCACAAAGAAAAACAAGTCATTCAAGAAGCTGCCTCCCACAGATGCCCACTTTCTTATTTATCATCCCATGCTTTCCTCTATACATGTATTTACATACTTTTATTTCTACAAAAATGGGATCGTGGTTTGATAAACTGAATTTTCACTTTGTGTAAGTTTTACTAGATCATTAAATGTTATTCTGTAAAAACCCTTTAGAAGCCATTCAGTATTTTCTTAGGCAGATGCATCATCGCTGATTTAACAAATCCTTTATTATTGTATAATACCTACAGCCTGTACCCAGTATCATGCTGTTTGAACTGCTCTGCCTATGGGTAGCATTCTCTGAGCTAAACCTCTGCACACGCACACACCAGTCAGGTTCTGATACTCGATACAGTCATGGACCACTTAACAATGAGGATGCGTTCTGAGAACTGCGTTGCTAGGTGGTTCTGTCGCTATGCGAGCATCAGAGTGCGCTTGCACAAACCCGGACGGCCAGCTACTGCACACCTGGGCCCCGCGGCGCAGCTGATGCTCCTCAGCTACAAGCCTGCACAGCACGTCACTGGACACAGAACACATTAAGCCAAGCGGAAGAGAGAAAATAATGCAGTCAAGAGACGTGGTATTTTTGGCTGGTGTGGCTCACTGGATTGAGTGCCAGCCTGCAAACCAGAAGGTCACCGGTTCAATCCTGGTCAGGGCACATGCCTAGCTGGGATGCAGACGAGGTCCCCAGTTGGGGGCATGTGAGAGGCAATTGATTATTGTTTCTTTCACACGTCAATGTTTCTCTCCCTTGCTTCCTCCCTCCCTTCCCCTTTCTCTAGAAATAAATAAAATCCTAACAGGAAAAAAAAAGACATGGTAAGCACAACATGTATGAGGCTGCTGCTAGGGTAACACGGCAGTGTTTTACAGCACAGTTTTGTAGGTAGAAAGAGTCCACTCTGAAATAAGTGAAAAGGAGAGTACAGTAAACACATAAGTCAGGAACACGGTCATTTATTATCATCATTGAGAGTCGTGTACTGGGCATAACTGCGCTGCTATCTAAGCTTTTATGCAACTGACAGAGCAGGAGGCCTGTTCAAACCAGTGTCACAAGCACGCGAGTAGTGCACTGCGCTGCGACGTGGTGACAGCGATGTCACTAGGTGACAGGAACGTTTCAGGTCCACTCAAGTCTTACGGGCGGCTGTCGTACTTGCGGACTATCGCTGCCCTAACCGCTGGATGAGCACATGGCTCCTGCCCAGTCAGAGGGGGAGGGCATCCGTCAGGCACTCACAGATTCTCACACCGAGGTGGCTTTAAAGCTCCCGAGAGCCAGGGAACGAGCCACGCTAACTCTCCCCTCCTCAATAACTCTCCCCTCCTAGTCGCACACGTTAGCGCGCTATCGCAGCGAGCTTAGGTGACTCATTCACTGCAATCGAGTTGACGCCAGAGCCTGAGCAGGACCGGGTCTCCTGACTCTAGACCCAGGAACCTCACTGCCTTGGCTTTGCCCGCTCTGCATGCTCTGAGGCAACTGTACCATCCTTCCTACACCAGAAAGCAGGGAACTGGGCAACACCCTCCTCTTTGCACAGAGGGGAAGGGCTAGGGAGGGGATCAAAACTAGAAACCCGGGTTTGAGACCTCATGAGTCAAAGTCCTCCTGCTTAAGAGAAGGGGTTGCAGTGACACTCAACGAGCCCCAGGGCCGGGTGGGGCCCGCAGGGGCCCTCCGGGCTGCTCCTTGACCTTCAGGCTGCTGTGCCATTCCAGAAACAAAAACTTATCTTCCAGGTCCCCGGGTGATCTGAATCAGTCAACAAGCTTCTGCTTGAGAAATCCCTCCCCTGGCCACAGCCTCCCCGCCCCCCTTCCCCCCCCAACCAAGTCCCTCCCCCCCCCCCCCCTTGCTAAGTGAGATTCAGGGAAAACACAGTTTGACCCTCAGGCCACTCCGTCATGGGTCCCTACTCCAAGCCTCTGTCCTCACCTAGAAATCCCAAAGCCGGGAACACTTTAGATTTTGCTCCCCAGCAACTGTGGTCAGTTTGGCCCAATAAACTTTATAAATTCCTATAAAATTTTTACAAACTAAATAAAGCATAACCCTGATGCTCCCCTTCGCCAATATCCTGGGAGGGCACATGAGAATATTTCTTAAAAGCTCTCCACAACCTGTAAAGTGAGACAGAAAAAAAGGGTTTTTACAAGTCTTTTACTCAGACCTTCAAGGGCTGGAAGCAGAGAGTGTGGCGGCTCCACCGGGAATTCCCTAGAAAGCCAAAAAAGGCAAGAGAAAGGTCGGGGTTGCAGCGCCCTACCGAGCTCCTGCTCATGAGTCTGGTGACCTCATATCTATTTTGAAAAGCTTTATTATAACAAAAAAAAAGGTAAGAAAAATGTACAAAGTAAATTCTTAATGACTATTAAAAAATGTACATCCAAACGAACTGTTTTTAAAACCCACTCACCTACCTTCATCCTTGAAGCCTCAAGCCAGAAACAAGAACCCCTGGCTCTCAATTTAATCCCGCGGAGCAACCAAGAGCTAGAGGAGAAGACGCAGTACCACTTGGAGGCGTCAGGGGTCAGCATTCATCCAGAGAAAGAAACAACCCTTTTCTCCACCAAAAAACAAAAACCAAAAAAATGGTGGCCACCCCCACTTTCCACAAGCAGGAAGTTTGAGGTTTCTACCTCTGAAAATGAAGAAAAAACAGTATTTCCAAGATTCCTGGGCTTCCTGTCTCCAGACAGGGCCTGAAATATTCGGCTAACAGACTATGACGATGTTTTTACAAGCCTTTTTTTCCCTTTAGTTAAAAAAAAAATACTCTTCATTTGGTCTGTGAACCTGCACCCTCCAAAGCCTGCTAGATTTGCAGAGTTGGTGAACCTGCCCACTTCCGGTTTGTTCCCACGTATGTTTGCTCTCTTCTCTGGCCTTTCTCCAAATTCCACCCTGAAACATGCTTTATTCGATCCATGTAGAGTACACCCAAAGCTTAATTTTTAAAAGCAGAAGAGAAGGGAAGACAGGAGGAAGGGAAAGTGTCTTTGTTAAATGCCTACTAGGCACTAGCTTTCACAAATTGTACCTAATTTAATCCTCGGAACAATTTGAGAAAACATATGGTCTCATTTCTGATGAGGAAACCCGAGCCAGCGAGCTGAGGTTGCCGAGGCTACACCACAAGGACAGGCAGCCCTGCAGGTTGACCTCCTGTCTACCTGGGGTCAGAGGTGGTAATCCTGCCATTAGCCAGGAGGTATGGGATCTCTCAAAATAAAACACTCCATTAAGTTGCTTTTTATTTACAGGGCATTTTTTTCCTTTGTCAGTAAACCTTGATAGAAAAAAAAAAACAGCTCTGATCCTGCAAGCCTCTACTTCTGTGTCCTTGTATCATTTTCCTTCCTTGGAGGTCTCTTCTCCACTAGCATCTTAGACTTTTACCTACAAACAGAGGTCAATGCTTTAGTCTGACCTTGCTCAACAGTTCAAATCGCTGTTAATCATTCAGTGGTTTAGGAAGACTTTTATGCACACCTTGCCCTCTGGGAGGGACCAGAGAGATAATGCAATCAGTCTCAAAAGTTAAAAGATTTTAGCCAAGCTTCTACTAGCGACTGAGAGAATGGAAGTGGAAAATACAAATCTAGACTAAATGTAGGCTGGGCAGCATCACCAGGTGGGGTCCAGTGCCTTGCCCACATTTATCAGCATACTCGTTATGATATCCTGGACAGGCTCTCCAGATAACAGTGTCCTTCAGGGACTCAGAAGTGGATTAGAGCACCTACCAAGGTCAGCCCTGCGGTGGGGTGGAGGAGCCAGGTTAACTCTGGACTTTAGAGTGACTTCTCAGGCTCACCTGTTACTTTACATCTGGGAGTAAGGGTCCCACGCTCCCTCCTACCACGCTTCTATCAATCTAACTGGAGCCTCCTTCAAACCTCTCTTCCCTGATCTCTAACTTCTATTCACTCCCCTCTTGGTTTCTTTCTTGGGAGTGATCAAAGGTCCATATAAACCAGCAACCCCCTAATTTGCCATATGGTTCTGATACAGCAAAGAAAGCAAGGAACATCCATTTCAGGGTAACAAAAACAATGTTTCCACATGCAGCCAAATCGTGCTTTATGATGTTACATTTTTGACCTACGGATTCCTTAATTGAAACAAACTCTTGCTACAAAGGACTTCCCCCTGATACATAGTTTTAAAGGTATCCTGAGCCCTCCTGTGGCTCACACCTTTTCCACTGTCACCAATAGAAGGGGTGGCTATCCCAGAATATGTATTTTGGTCAATGTCCAAAAGGGGTTAGCCCCTTTCCAGGCTCAGCAAACATATTCTGATGTGCTAATAGCCCTTAATGAGGACATCTGCCATCAGTTAAATAATTGGAACAGACAGAAGAGGAAAACAAACCCTCTCTGTGGTTCTGAGCTACAAATTGCTACTTGACATGTGACTGTTGCCGGACAACCGCATGTCCCAGCACACGTACGTGTGTGCACACACACTCACGCACAATGGTTGTTCTCTCCTACCACCCAGGAACACTGCCGCGAGCCATGACATCACCTAGTGGCACTTCTAGAACACAGGTCCTAAGTCAGAGTGATTCATTACACAGCTAATAGCTTGGGTGGGTTTTATTTGTTTTGTTTTTGTTAAGGAGAGTTAAGTTTGGACTAATTGACTACCATTTGCTTAATCTTGAGTGCCCACTACAAACTCTCTGATGAACCATTTATGGATCAAGACGAGGGACAGCAACCCTCCACCGACAGTTTCAGGTT